TATATAAAGAAATACATTATTATAACCAAAGTAATAAAAAAGTAATAGCAAATTTTTAAGAATACTTAATTTTAGCACAAAATCAAAAATAAACGACAAATTATATTTACATATGGGAAAAGAGTCAAGAAATGGAAATGTAGGTATGAATGTATTAATTTTATTAATAAATATTATACAAGTGAATTAAACATACGTTTACAATGACACGTTGTAATTTTTAAAGGGTGAACAAACTAGAGACGATTTTTCAATTTTTCAAAATTTGTAATCGAGTTCGCATTGGAATATGTATTATTGATTGCATCTTACAGGCGCAGACCTCGTAAATTTATGTGAAACACCCTGTATAATAAAAAAATGCACTCTCCCAATTTTCGCAAAACTATTTAAAAAAAAAACTGCACAAACTGTGTGTAAAATAAAGTAATTACTTAAAAAATATTTTTTTGTAAACTGTTCTATAAATTAATAGACAGAATTCTTAGTGCAGATAATGCAAAGATTGTTAATAAAACGATCGACGCACGAGGCGGTACTAGGAACTGGTAGCGGTTGGAGGCAACGCACAATCTGGGAATATAATATTTTTATCGAAAGACGTACGTTGTGGAACTAAATCGTTTTCGAACTAACAATTAGGTATGTACATGTGAAACGTCAAAAAAAAATGCCAAGTCGAAAAGTAAAACGGCAAAATCGGCTGGAATTAGTTACCGACGTGGACGTATAATAACAGAACCGTTCTTTTTTGAAGATAAATCAGAAATTTAATTATTAAAATCATCATCTTTTTAACCATGCGATTTTACCTTTGGACCTGTCATTTTATTTGATGTTCCACAGATATTCGTTTTCGAATCCAAGAATGACTCGATTAGGTACAAATTATCTTGATCTATCGATACAAATTAGTCAAAACAATAAAAGTATAATTCAGTATGAGTGGAAAAAAATATTTTTATTGAAACCATTCAAGAACGGTAATTTTGTACGTTTAATAAGAAAACGCAATGAATTTAACGTTGTGAAAAAGAGGCACAACATCATACATCGAGCAAACTGCAGACCGGTTTCGCCCTTTTGGGGCTCATCAGTGCAGTGTAGCTCGATGTGTGATGTGGCCTCGGGAGTCTTAAAGCGACTACGCCGGTGAAGATGAGACAGTGGTAGCGCAGAGCGTGTTTAGAGGTCTGGATTCTCCACACACCGACAGGTGGCGCTCTGCGCTACCACTGTCTGAATTTAACGTTATTAAGGAGTTTTTGCAAATCGTTTAGTTTAACGTTAGCCTTAACGACAATGTCATTTAATTGTATGTACTTACGTCTTTCAAGGGCGAAAGGCGTATTCCTAACTAGGATAAAAAAATCCTAATCCATTCAATCGAGAATACACAGGTACTATTTTATTACCTAATTCAAGTTTATGTAAACATTCCTAGGAGTAATCTGAGTATGATTTTTGTTTCTCGTTCTCTGTCAAAATTAGGGAATCCTGGCCAGATAACTCCTGAACCAACTTTCTCTTGTTTCCTAGAATTCTATAACAGAATCTTGGAATTAAGACTTATACTTTTATTTATTTTCATTATAAAATATACTTTAGGAGCAGTTCTTTTTTAGAACAAAGTAATCTAGTTACTAATTGATAAAATTATTTAGGGTTATTCATAAATATGAAGCAATATTTGAAGCTCAAAAATGACCTATAAAATGAAATGAACTCGTRTCCGATCTCTATTGATAAGAATTTTACAGCCCTCGGAATGTGGGTATGGAAATTTATTTTTATTGTAATAACTTTGGAACCATTTAACCAAATATTATAAAATTTGGAATAGTCACTTGCGAGAACATATCTTTTAAACTAGTAATTACGAAAACCGGATACATTTACTCAATTTCTGGTTCCAGCAGTTGCAGGTCACATTTTCTTTTAACATTTTTTTTTAACATGATTGATCTATTGACACGTGTATTAGGGTGCATTAACATCCCTAAATACGAATTTGATAAGAAAAATTCTCCATCACGTACAGATTTTAAGTTACAGGAAAATAGTTTTCTCAAATTTTATCGTAAAAATTGTTCATTTAAAATAGAAATTAATTAAATAGACGACGAAA